GCTTGTTGGATTGTTGTGTGTACTATACCTTTTATAAATATTTGATACACATTTTTATTACATTTTTTAGAATCAAATAATTCACAATTACAATTGCAAGTAAAATATGATTAAATTGGTTAATAAAACATTTCAAGAATCAAATATCTAGACAAAGACTTGAATCGGTAAACTCCATTGTCAGGAAAGCAGTTAAAAAATTGCTGACTGTGTGAAATGCTTCACAAGAGGTGGTCTCCAGGATCCTTCAAGGCACCTGGGTAAAACCCTACCTAGAATTTCCCAAACTACCCTTCTCAATTTTAGTAAGTCGTTTTTTCCAAAAAAACAAAAACAAAAAAAAAACAAGACATTTCTTGTTTAATGACCATGTCGTTTGCTCATTCTAGTGAATCGAAAAGCTCCCTCAGAGAGAACAGTAGGTGTGTGTTCATGTGTGTGTTTAGAGATTATTGTGGGTGGCCTCAGAGAGAGCCTGCAAAAAACAGTCAACAGTGAATGTCTTCTGTCACACCCTGCTTAGCTTATGTCTAGTCTGGTTCCCCAAAGGTGGAATTACACCAATAGTTGGACGGAGACTAAAACAATATGATGGCGTAATACTAAGAAGCAATGCTTCTGAACCTGAAGATAATTATGATAAATGACACTTTTCTCTGCGCAGAAAACAATCAGCTAAGAACTGAAAGTAATAATTGCTCACACCCATTTCCTATCTAACAGACAGATTGGCGGTGTCATTTTAGGCCCGGCCAAGGACGCCCAGAGATGTTACATGGTTGTTTTTTTCACAATAGTTGCATGTTTCATCACCTTAGAAAGTAGCCACACACACCTTCTCGTTCCCTGTTGTGTACATATTTATCTGTTTGACATTGCAAAGTTCACAAAGACAGCTGAAATCCCCAGAGAAGATATGAGATTACCGATACATCTTGAACTGAAAACCCCCATCGTTCATTTCAAAGGTGCGCTGTAGAATTTCTTTTGAGCTGTTACTATCTATAAATGCTGAATTAAATGTCAGTTGGCACATGTTATCCTCGCTGCTTGTTTACCATCTACAATAGAAACATCAAAATAGTCATGTCGTTTCACAAAACAGATTTTTTTTTTTTTTTAAGTTTTCAAATGATTTTAAGCATTACAAAGAAGATTAAACTGAGTGTTAATAGAATGAAATATTAAAATTGGATGTATTTACGTGACAGCGCAGAAATTTTGGACTTGGTAAGTGTCTTATGCTCATCAAGACAGTGTTTATTTATACTCCAACATTAGGCACATTCAAATCAAGATTTAAAACACATCTGTTTAGCTGTGTCATTACCAAATGAGCACTGTGCTACGTTTGACAGATCACACTATTATGACTTTCTTTTCTTTTTCATTCTTTTATAACTTGTTGTTACACCTTTTAATCTGTTTTTTTCTGTTTTAATCATTTTTATTTTCTTGTTTCTTTTAGTCTTGTTTATGTAAAGCACTTCGAATTACCATTGTGTATAAACTGTGCTACATAATAAACTTGCCTTGCCTTATTTCTTTCATGACCATACTAGTTTCATTTAAGTTAAAATGTCATTTATTTTGGATGGAGAAAATCACTTTTCAGCAGCAATTATTTCAGTCTTCAGTCATCATTTTAACATGCTGAAATAGTGGTCAAAAACAGTAATTTTCCTTAATATTTTTCATAAAAACTTTTTTCAGAATTTCACTTTTTCTGAAACTTTTTCACAATGCACTGATTAGATATATATTTTAAATGTCAAAATGTTTGAAATATAAATATATTTTGTAGTTATAAATCTGTTTACTCTATTTTGATCAGATTAATGCTGAATAAAACATAATTTCTTTAAAAATACAAACATCCGAATATATATACTGCAAAGAATGATTTTCTCACTTAGTTTTTGTCTTATCTCCTGTCCAAATATCTCAAAATTCTTACATCAAGAAGCATTTTCTAGACACATTACACATTGTCTTGTTTTTAGAAATATTATGTCAAAATTATGTGAGATTTTCCTTAAAACAAGCAAAGGAATCTGCCAAAAGGGTAAGAAAAATAAACTTCAAATCAAAAACAAAAATATTTAGCTTAGCCCACATGCAGATTATTTTACTTGTTTTAGGGGAAAACTCCCTGCATTTTGACTCATTATTTCTGAAAACAAGAAAATATTTAGCTCGTCTAGAAAATGCTTCTTGATTTCAGGACTTTGAGATATTTGTACTGGAAACACTACAAAAACTCCAAGTAATATACCTTCACCGGCCACTTCAATACGTACATCTGTCCAATAGCTAGTTAAAATCAGCCAATCACATGGCAGCAACTCAATGCATTTAGGCATGTAGATGTGGTCAAGACAATCTGTTGCAGTTAATTCCGAGCATCAGAAAGGGAAAGAAAGGCGGTTTAGGTGACTTTGGCCTCCACAGTCACCAGATCTAAATACCTTTGGAATGTGATGGAACGGGAGATTCGCATCACGGATGTGCAGCGACAAATCTGCAACAACTGCGTGATGCCATCACGTCAATATGGACCGAAATCTCTGAGGAATATTTCCAGTACCTTGTTGAATCTATGCCACAAAGGATTAAGACCAACCCAGTAATAGTAAGGTGTACCTAATAAAGTGGCCGGTGAGTGTATATAAATATACATACAAACTCTACAACCCGGATATTGTGTCTAGAGGGTCAATAAGAAATAACAGACATGGAAATGCCCTGTATGGGAATCTATGCTTTCTATGACACTATATCTATAACAAACTTCAGCATAATCTCTGAGCACAACATTGAGTTTATAATTTTGCTGATTGCACAAGACTAGGTTAATTTGATTGACATCAACACATACCATCTAAACATACGATGCAGCAGCAAGAATAACTTACAGACTAACAAATAGTGTAGTTTTTAAAAATAAACAGGGTGGAGCCAAAACTGAAGCCCTCTAACAGTGCCTGTTAGCTCAGTCCTGTCCCTTCAGCATCCACTGGCATTCATAGATTGTATTATTAAGGCTAATACTAATACTACAGCACTCAAAGGGGAATCCAATACAAGTGCTTCTACCAAGTAACCTCAATTGACTTTCTTGAAGCCCTTCCTCCACTGAGAAGAAACAGGAAGTGACAGTGGAGCGTTAACGGCTTGTCACTGCAATCTTCACCCTTCCCCCCCTCCCTGAATCCCCTTCACCACTGCACGTCCGTAAATGGACAACACTTTGCCCTCTATTCCCTGGACAAAAAGCACAGGCCCAGGGTTCAAATAAAGCCTTGTAATGTCAAGGTAAGCACAGATTAACCTGGACAGTTTCCGCTACCTTCCCTAATACACACCTTTATTACATGCAAAGTAGGTAAAAGGTACTTGCTGCACAAGCAGACTTGTGTATGAGATCTATTAAAAGCAAAGTAGCAGTTTGAGTGGAATTCATTCAACCACTTTAAACTAAGCATGAAACTAGTCAGTTGATTTAAACTAAAACAAGGCTAGTCAGTGGAACATGTGCTGTGCCAACAATACTAACAGATTTGAGCTGTACAGGCAATATTGTTTTTCAAGGCACATCTCAGCACCAGTTAAACCAACGGTTCACACTTCAGAAACGCAATGAAGGTCATTATTTACTCACCCTAATACTGTTATAAACCTATAGGACTTTATTCTGCAGAACACAGTGGGCATTTTGAAGAATGTTTTAGTCTACACACTTAACGTCAGTGGGATTAAAAGAGCACTGATGTAAAAACACTTGTGTTGTATTCTCTGAAAAGAGGAAAACACAACACACACAATATCTTTCTATTGCTTAGTTGCAAGATATGAATAAAGGTTTAATCAATTTAAATTCAGCCTCATATTTTTTTCTTAACTAAACTTAAAGGAATAGTTACACTTAAAATATCATTTACTAAGCCTTTGTTTCAAACCTTCTTGAGATTATTTTTTCTGTTGAACAGAACTTTATTTTGAATAAATATCAATTGGAAACCTGTAAACCTTGACTCTTATATGATTAGTTTTTCCTAATATGGAAGTGAATTTTTACAGGGTTTCAAATTCTTAGTTCATCTTTTGTGTTCAACTGAAGAAACTCAAAGGTTTATAACCACTTGAGGGAGAGTAAATAGTGTGTAAATTAATTGGTGTAAACTATCGTTTAACAAATTTTGCTCAATTATTTTACATCATAGGTCTCAAACTCAATTCCTGGAGGGTCGCTGCTCTGCAGTTATGCTCCAACACTATCAAACCCAGCTGATCCAACTAATAAAGCTGTTAATGACTCTTTTGAACACCTTGATTATTTGTATCTGCAGTGTTTGATAGGGTTGGAGCACAATTGTGCAGAACTGTGGTACTCAAGCAATGGAGTTTGAGACTTATGATCTACATCAGGAGTGTCCAGACTCGGTCCTGAAGAGCCAGTGTCCTGCATATTTTAGTTCCAACCCAAATGAAACACACCTGAACCAGCTAATCAAGCGCTTTCTCTGTATACTAACTAGACTTCCAGGCAGGTGTGTTGGAGGAAGTTGGAGCTAAACTATGCAGGACACTTGAACTCCAGGACTACGTTTGGGCATCTCTGATTTACATGATAACAGCATTTTAGGATTTTACAAGTGCAGCTTAGTTTTTTTTTTTGGAAAATCCTTTAGCTGGACATGATATTATATGACATGGCACACACATTTTGAAAATGCAAAAAGAAAAAAATAGATTAAGTTCCTAATAATGAACAACCTTAATAAAATTGTAGACAGATAGCAGAGTACTAATTTGATAAGTGAAGATTATTTGAGCTAGCAACGATCTTAAATATTTTAAGAATCAACCATTGAATTGTTGAACCAGACATCCAAGTCAAGCTTTTTAGGTTTGCTTTTGAGATACATGTTACTCAGAATTTTACAGTTATACCTTATAAAAAGGCAAATAAAGTTGAAAAAGGCAAAAATAAAAAGAGATTGATGAAAAATTAGGCCAAAGTTAAAAACTTGGCCATCTTTATTACAAGTCACACATAGTTTTGAGCCCTCTTGGACTGTTGGGGAACTGGGGGAACAAATAAATAAAAGCAACTTGATTTAAGGCAATTCTAAAGCTCAGACAGATCAGTTGTATCAAGACTATTGTAAGCAAGCAGTGGTTTTGGGTATACTGAACATTTACCATACAATAGACTTACTGTTGGGTCGATGAACACATTTTTTGGGTCTAAATCAAAGAGAACAATTCAGCAATCCCATTTTGGCAGTTGCCCCATAAACCACAGGTTCTTAAGGTCATTGCTGCTTTTTTGTTCTATGTTAATACATCTGAATAAGCAATAAATAAATACATTTTTAAATGTAAAACTGCATCGAAGACAAATAAATGTTTGAGTGTCTTTACATTGCACCAAGTTCACAGTTCTGAAGTGTTGTTACATTCATCCATGGAACGTTGTTTTTTGGCGTTCCAGCCAGAAGCAGAACTGTAGTCCTGACAGGAGCTTGACCACTCGTTTCTGAGAACAGAGGCATTTGGCCACCTCTGGTTCTGGTGATGGTGGTCCCAAAAATAACCATATTGATAATCAAATCCCGCCTCGAAGCGTCCAAACAGTCCTGTCTCAGCAGCTAACGGTGCTCGGCTGCTGTTTGCTCACAAAGTCCGATATGAAGTCAAACTCGTTTTGTCCGAGGAAGAGTTCAGGGAGTTCTTGCACCCGGTCCAGTCCTAACTCCATGACCAACGACGTCAAAACCTCTTCGTCGATCAAATCAGCATCCATACCATTAAGACTGAGAGCTGGGCCGGGCATGTGCTGCATGTTGCTCAGCTGAGCCTGACCCATGCGGAATTGCGCCCCATTTCCCATATGGTTGCCATTCATGTGTCCCAACGGGTGCCCGTGGTACTGTGTGTTGAGTTTCTGAAGGTGCATGCTGGCCATGAGCTGTTGGGAAGTGAGACCCCCGGTCATATACTGCTGTTGCTGTTGTTGTTGTTGTTGTTGTTGTTGTGGCGGTGGTGGTTGAGGCTGTTGTTGCTGCATGTGGTGGTGCTGTTGATGCTGCTGTTGATGCTGCTGAACGTGATGCTGCTGTGGCTGGCCCTGGTTGTTGAACATCATGTTAGTTGACTGCATTCGGTGGTGACCCATCTGTCCATTCATAGGCCCCACCATGTTAGCCCTTTGGCGCATGGCGGCCTCCATGTTTCCCTGAGGCCCCGCTCCATAGTGCATCATCTGTCCATTGGGCATGGCTCTCAAGCCAGACTGGGGAATGTGCTGCTGGGGGCCTGCCTGCAGGCCTCCATTCATGCCCATCCGGTAGCCATGCAGACCCCCGTTTCCCTGGCCGTGGTTCATGGGCATCATCATGTGCTCTGCCATAGACTCTCCCTTCATTAAAACACACAAGATTGGGTTTAGAATTGGACTAGTGACAATAGAAGTCCTCTTAGTCAAATTGATAAAGGTGCAGAGTAGTCAGTAACCAGACTCAAACTGTAAATAAACACTAACAATAGCAAGGATTGTACTAATATCCCCATCTGAGTGGAAAGTGTTTGAATTATTTTCCCCCTACAGCCCACCTGACTATCTTATAAACACCAAATAACCTCTAATGGTGTATATCTTAACACTTTTGGAATTGAGAGCATCATTCTCAACCTTAAACATTTCACGCACAGCTTTAACTGATTTCCATCTAAATGCATGCAAACGATTCCCTTTAAACACGGGTTCTAAACAATGAGTACAATTGGAAATGCATTTGAATCAAACCTTATTTTCATAGATCACTGGGAAAATCAAACGCACGTTTTATATGATAAACAATGCACTTGGCATACAGCAAATCTAAGAATGCAGAAGATCAATTCATAGAAAGTCACCGTGCAGTGAAGCAAACAATGGATCAGCCACCCTGAGCCCTAAAACACCGGCGGCGTTTCAAAAGCCTAGTGTGCTGCCTATCTAGACAGCAGTCAGATATCGCAAGCGCTCGAAATGCTGCACGCGCTTTTGATGCCGTCCGCATAGTCAGCACACGGTGTTTTGAAACACAGCCCGTGAGTTTCTCAAGCGTTTTTTGAATCTCTTACCCCGTGTCCTCTGCTCTGTGACTCCGCTGCGGCAGGACAAACGAGCTTTATCTCTTCAAAAGCCTCCGAAGAATTACAGTTTATATTCCACAAGGTGAAGCTTCATACTCCGGCGTACAAAAGATCGCTGCTCACTATCTTCCAACGAGATTGTATGTGTGTGT